TTCCGTCTCCAGTCCGCATGATCTCGCGTGTTAGCTTGGTGAATGCCCAACAGGCGGAGGCAAGGCCGAAAGGGAGTTGTGTAAAGACGTAGAACTGGCCTTGCCATTCAAAACCAAGGTAGCGCCAGTCTGCTTCGCGTACGTCCATATGGTGGTAGCCAGACTTCAGGTCCAGGGTGAACATGTAGTCCTTGGGGCCTAGCCAGCCTGGGACCTGCGCAAGCGACTCATAACGGAACTCCGGGATGTGCAGGTGCTTATTGACTTCGCGTCCATCCCAGATGAGGCGGAGCTTGCCTTTCTGCTCTACGACGCCCAAAGGACAGGTCATGAAAGGGCGGGACTGGCAAGGTTTGATGGTCTCTGACTCCAGCAAACCCTCGATGGCAGAAGACACAAAATCCCCGTGGTCCCGTGCAGATTGGTGATTCTTGCCCCAGTACGGCCGGGGGGGAGGTCCTGAGTGCCACATCAGAGGGAACCCTTGCAGGACCCAGCTCAGCACGAGCTGGTTCACCACTGTCGCCTTCCAGACCGCGGCACAGGCTCTCAAGCGCCCCCGCATCTTAGGCCTATCCTTGCTACCCATGCTAGGAGGTGTGGCTTCACAAGGCGGATCAACAGGCAAAGGTGCTGGGTTCTCACCTTCTGGGACCGCTTGTTCATTCCTCGAAGGGGCTCCTGGATCTGGATGTGGTTCCTGGGCTTGGTGGGCGACCTTGGTCCGGGGCCGGGTGGGCTCTGCAGGGCCGGGTGCGGGACGCTTGGCGGTGTTCTTGGTCTCCACTTGTGTGTTGTCTCGTTGGGCAGGGGGGGGCTGCGCGGGGCGAGGGGCTCTAAAACCCGCGGTGACGAGCAGTGCGCCCAGTACTGTGGCGGCCAAATTCTCTGCATTGCAAGAGACAAAAGATAAAAGAGGGGGAGATGAGTAGAGGCCGGGGCTCATGGCGACTGAGGCTACGAAACGGTGGGAAGCCGCCCCTCCTGGGATGACAGAAAAAACCGAACAGGATACTCAGGGGCGACCTGCGCCGCAGGGGACGGGGCCACCAGAGCCATCAACCTGTTTGATGCCTCTCTGTTGTTGTTGGGTACATGCATGAAGAGGGAAACTCGGACGGAGGAAGGACAGGTCCAGCCTGAAGCCGGCCACCTGGGCCTGGAAGCCGCCATGGTCAACAGGACCGAGCCAACACGGCAATAAGGCCCCAAGGCCAATCACAGGCGCCACCAAGGGCAAGAGCTCGCGCGCGTTACAAAGAAACCTCCCTCCAGGGTACAACTTGGTCCGACATCTTCTAGCGGTGGAAGGTCTGGAAGAGACCGGATGTGCAACTTAGCATAACAAGTCTTGTCAAAGACTGGGCCAAAGCATACTCCGTTCCAACCCAATAATGTTTGTCGGACTTGTGGGCCCCTGCAACAACAACGACCGCGAACTGCACAGAGGGGCCACTGAGCGAGCTTAAGAAAAAAAAAAAAAAAAAAAAAAAAAAAAGGAGGGGGGTAGGATCGGTGCAGTGCCAGAGTCAAGCAAACACAAAGCCCAACAGAATCCTAATCAGCCACGCTTAGCCGGGCTGCGAGAGCAGCTTCGGTCACGCTGGCTGCGCCGGTCGTAGCGGTCATAGCGGCTGCGGTCGTTCCGGCGTGCACTACCAAACGAATCCCGCACTCCACCCTGCCGGTCTCTCCCTCGCCAGAGGGACCCGGCCTGACCGTCCCTGTCCGCCGCCACCGACTTGCGCGTTTTAGCTAATGCACTCTCTATGTCGCCCTTATCTATGGCCTCTGGTTTGAACTCGGGCTTGGTGAAGTTGCGCCGCCTGCCGTGCCAGATTTCGTAGGGGGCCGTGAAATTACCGTTGGCTCCTGGGCCCGCCTTGGCCAGAGCAACGGAGTAGCACTTAAGGCGGCGGTGAGCGATCTTGAGGCATTCTCCCGCGACGGCCAGCTGGGGTTCGTTCGCATCCAGCGCGGTGATGGCGGTCTCTAGCAGCATTAGCGTTCCTTCGTCGAGCTGCTCCCGCTGCTCGTGTGGGGCTGTCAGCTTCGGTGCGTCATTCGCTTGAACTTCCGTCCTTATTGCTGCTAGCTGCTCTCTTGCGGATGGCATGATGGTCACGTCTTTTGTGATGACAACGTCAGGAGAGCGATCCCGAGGCGGTGCTGTCCGGGGATCCCTGGCTGGCGCTTTTGGGGCGTTGGCCTGCGCTGCTGACAGGACGCCCAGCAGCAGCTGG